TTTACACTTTAGTTATGCCTGGTATCTGCTGGGCACTGTGTAGTGTTTTTTTCTTAGGTTGAAACATTGTTATTTGTAGTGTTATCATGCTCAGTATTCTGCATGTGGGCAGCAGAGACCCAGGTAGATTCAGTAATGTGCTCAAGGTTTTGCTTCTAGTGTGTGGAGGGAACTGCTTTTCAAGCCCCTCATTTTTGCTGCAACCTCTAATTCTATACCTTTTTTTTTTTTTTTGCTTTACCATACTGCTGCTATTATGTTCCACAGCATAAAGCAATTTATTTGTAAAATATTATATTTAGTTAATGCAGAAAAGTAGAAAATTTAGATAACTGAAGAAAATGGCTCCCACACAGAGTGTTGTGTGGGTTAGTGCACCAGTGATCTTCCCATCCTTTTTTTTTTTTTTTTTTCAGTTTTTCGAGCAGAATTTCTCTGTGTAGCTTTGGAGCCTATCCTGGCACTCGCTCTGGAGACCAGTCTGGCCTCGAACTCACAGCGATCCGCCTGGCTCTGCCTCCCGAGTGCTGGGATTAAAGGCATGCACCACCATGCACCACCTGAATAGAAGATCTAGGGTTCTTTTTGCAAAACACAGTTTTCACTGTTTCATCTTTTTCCAGTGTCATTCTCGGTGGCTTGCAAACAACTTTTGGTATCTCTCCCATCCCAAAGCAGTATCCAACACCGACTCTTCCCACCTAGTTACTGTTTGGTTCTTTAGTTCTTGAAAGAGTTATCTATACCCGTCAACTCGTTTCTCAGCCCCTTCCAGCCTCTCTTGCTTTTTGTCTTCCAGCTACAACTGTTCCTAAGGCCACCCAAGGCCTCCCTGTCATTCACAGTGATAGACATTTTCCCTTCTCATCTTTGTTCTGCCTGGTGGTTCTCTCTTTCCTTTGATGGTCCCTTTCCCATCTGTTGTCTTCACTAGTGTTTCTGTGACTGAACCCTAGCTGTTCTTCTGTCTCACTGGGCTCTTTTCCTAGAGTGACCTCATCATCTCTGTAGTGTTCAGCACCACCCATACTCAGGTAACTTCTGAATTATGCCTCCAATGCAAACACTCCCGAGGGTTTCCTAATTAGTGTGTTCAACCCTGTACTTGACATTCTTTTAAATGTTTGATATGAACACTTCTCTTTTGACTAGAACTATTCAGTGGCCTTTCATTACTCCAAATATCCTATACCCATACCCACCCAAAAGAGCAGATATCTTACCATGACTTGTGTATGAGGTATTCTGTGCTCACTTTATGTGATGCTTCTGTTCATCTCTTGTGCTTTAGGGTGCTCCTGGTATCATTTTCATTCCTGAGTGTGTCAGGCTCCTTCAACCCCCAGGATCTTTGCATAGCTTTTTCCTTTGCTGGAAATACCCAGTTTCTTGTGTCTGGTGTGACCATTCCATCTTACCCTTTGAATCAATGTTGTCATCCCTGAGGAGCTACTGTCCAATTAGATAGCCAGCTGTGTGAGTTGTTCAGAATGTTTTCCCAAAACAGACTATATCACCCTGTGTAATTGCAGTTCAGTGAGCAAAAGGAGTAAGCTTACTGACATGTAAAAAAAAAAAAAAGTCTTTTTTTACTGAAAGACTGGACTCAAACTGTGTGTCTACGTACTTTGTGCTGTTCTTGCATTGATCCTGTGAACATCTTCAATATTAAACAAAATAGGGTGAGAAGGACCTTGAACAGCTGACGAACATTTAGAGCATAGCATGAAGATTACTAAGTCTGGGCTTAGTTCTTGACCTATTTCCTTGTTTTGTACATTCATCTAAGTGTACCTACATATTGAAAGGTGATTTTGATCCTGGTCAGCTGGACTTATTTCTGTAGGTTCTCAAGTATGCTTTCTGGAGCTTAATGAGAAGCACAGTCCATTGGCCAGGAGAACTCTGCATTCTTGTCATAGTTTAGTCCTTAACCTGGAGGTGCGATGTCTAGAGGAGGGCTGGCCTTGTATTTAAAGCAGCATAACAAGATGGAAAGGGCATTGAACCACAAGTTGGCTTGGATTTTTGCCCTAGTTGTAATTACTTTGAAAAACAAAACAAAACCTTAAGCCTCAGTTTTCCCACCCATAAAACAAGAAAATTGGACCACATGGTTCCTATGGTTTCTTTTGCTTTAATCATTGTGAAATAGCTGATTCTCATAGAAATTATGGATGCTGATATTAAAGGAAATGAACTATAGCTACCGAGGAAACAGATCTCTAGCCATTTTTATTGAAATGAAAAGTAGTGAGTACTCCCATGGACTACCTCAGCTACTTGAGTGAGTGATACATTCCTTGGAGATTCAGAATCTTTCAAGTTAACCTCTGTTTGACTGCCCTGACAGACTTAGTTTACTGGATGTTGTCCAAGGGGAGAAGAAAAAAATTGAGTGGACTGCTTTTGTGTTTTTGATGACCTGTACTTCATTGACAACATGAAGAATAGGAAATTAATGACCGCCAACTTGCAGATGAAGTCAGGACCCTTCTCTAGGGATTTTTGTTTTGTTTTGTTTTGTTTTTCATCCAGCCCTATCGATAGCCTTCTTCTCTAGTTTGCACTTTGCACATTCGAGGACTATAGTCAAACCCAAAGCAAAATAATGAATCACATTCAGTGGGATCACATAGTAACATCTCACAGAAGCATGGCCTTATTTGTGTCTCGGACTTACAAAACCTGTTGCTTTAAGTATTTTAATAAAAACAGGCTTCTCCCTCCCCCACTGAGGCACACTTTCTTCCCAGATCACTTTAATTATGTGAGCTAGAATCCTGTTTCTCACACATCTTCAGTTCTCAACCTTGTTAAAATTAATCATATAATCCCCCTTTAAAACATAGTATTAAATCACCATAGTAACACAGTATCCAAGCTTTATAGATAAAACATAACAGCCATAAGAAGGTAGCATTTGGTGTCCCCTGGACAGCTCTATAACTTTTATGGAAATGTGTTCCTTCCCCTGGCTATAAGGTGGGGGATAGCATTACTTACACCTGCTTTATTTCCACATGACTTTGAAATTGCCACCTTGTTTTTGTTCACCTTCTTAGTTAAATAAGGAGAGTGGAACACTTCTTGTCTTTGGGAGCCATTTTCCTGGGCTGGAAGCACTCTCCAAGGGATAGAATTGTTTCCTTAAATATAACGAGGCAAGGCCCTTGACCTTTGTGCTGGGATACCCTGAAAATCTCTTTAATTTTACTTTTCTTTTGTGACTTGTATAAAGGAGCTTTAGAAAGAAAGTCTAGTCTATATGTGAAATTTTAATTCATAACCTACCCAAAGACAATACAGTTCTGCCTTTGGCAAAGGCCTGTTAAGAATGATTTTTCATTGCTACTGACAATTGATACCTTAGCGTCAGTTTGAATATTTTAACAAAGTCAGTGTCTTATCAACTCAGATGTACTTTGTGAAATATAGTATATGATTTGTATAAGTTGCTGAACTCCTTGGGTTAATTTACTATCAAATTCTAAATATTATATTAGTGTAAAGTTACATATTAGAATTTGAAATGCTTACTTTTTTAAACACATGAGATATAGGATAGCTAGTAAACTAATAAAAATTGTGCATTTTGAAGCATTTTGTAACTTAAAAGAGTTTTAGATTAATTTGGTTGTTAATATGCTTTTAAATTATTTATTAGGCATTTCTACTATTATATTGTTTTTATGTTTAGTTAGCTTATTTTGTACTGATACAAGAATTTTTGGCTTTGTAATGGCTTGAAACCTTGTTTTAATTTTAGCCCCTTTAACAAGCTTAACATTTTGGTACTCCTGCCCTCTAGGATAATAAATGTATTCCTCAAAGTTCAGAAAGTATCAAAGATTCAGGAATCCTGGACAACAGCACATAGCCCTGTCCCTTTGTCTTTCTAGTGTTCATGATGGCTCCTCTTAGCATTCACTGCACCTGAGTGAGTTCCCTAGCTACTCTTAGTGTTTTTTTCTGTAAAATGGGAACATTACTAAAAGTCCAAGATTATCGTGAGAATAAATGAAATGGTGCCTTAGATATTTAAATAATTGTAGCTGGTACATGATAGTCACTTGAAGGCCACTGGTGACAGTGAGCTGGTGCTGTGGCCTCTGGAGTCACAGCAAGGCTTAAAACACAGCTTTTTGCCACTCAACTCATTGTACCTTAAGCAGTGCTTGTCCAGCTTTCTTCCTCTATACACAAGGAGGATAGAGTGCTGTTTTCAGCACTGATGGCCAATTGACCCAGCTACCTGGGGTCTGAACTCAATCAGGGACATTGGAAAGTGTTGATGATTTTGATTTCTAGTGGTCATTAGAATAGACTCCTTTCTTTCTATTCTCTCTCCTTCCTCTTTCCTCTCTCTATTTCCTCCTTTCCCCCTCTGGCCTTGCTTCCTCTCTTCTTCCATTCCTTTCATTTCCCTCTACTTTTTTTTTTTATAAGATTTATTTATTTATCATGTACACAGTGTTCTGCCTGCCTGCATGTCTGCAGGCCAGAAGAGGGCACCAGATTTCATTTTGGATGGTTGTTAGCCACCATATGGTTGCTGGGAATTGAACTCAGGACCTTTGGAAGAGCAGGCAGTGCCCTCAACCACTGAGCCATCTCTCCAGCCCCCCCCTTTTTAAATTTTAAGTTATTTTTTTAAATATTTATTTATTTTAAGTATATTGGTATTTTGTCTGCATGTATCAAGGATGTCAGATTCCCTGGAACTGGAGTTACAGACAGTTGTGAGCTGCCTTACATGTGCTGGGAATTGAACCCAAGTCTCAGGAAGTGCAGTCAGTGCTCTTAACTGCTGAGCTATATCTCTCCCGCCTCCTCTACTTACTTCCTTGTCTTCTCCCTTGAAGTGTATAAATTTTAAGATCAATTTATAAAGGTCCACAAAGGAAATGTAACAGGTTCAATGACTTGTGGTGATTAGATACTTTTATCTGGAAACTTAGCATACATTCATTTCTCCTTTTGTTCTGTCTTTGCTGCAGCCTCACAGTTAGCCAAGTTGGCCAGCACTTCACATTCGTGCTCACTGACATTGACAGCAAACAGAGATTTGGGTTCTGCCGATTATCTTCAGGGGCCAAGAGCTGCTTCTGTATCTTAAGGTAAGGGAGAAGGGCTTCAGCCATTGGCTGGTTCTGTGAAACATTTGTCAGCGTTTGCATAGTTCTTCTGTAATTAAGTTTTCCAGCTGTTCTTTGGTGTCCTATCTGTTCCCCACAAGTCACTGATCTTGGGGAGAAGGACTTTGTGGTGTTTCTCTTGCACTTGAAGTTCTGCAGATAATTGTATTTATTTATTTGCATCACATCCCTTGGGTGGGAAGGGTTTCCTGAGTGGTATGCGGAAACCAGAGAGTCAGCAGAGGTTTCAATCCCTCCTGCTGTTATCTGGAGCTGTCAGAAATTAGTCTGTTAGGCTTCCCTGTGGACATTTTGTGTATGTAAGATTATTAATAAAGTATATGTCGAGCTCAGGACAGCCTACAGACGCTGATTGTATGCCCCTCAGAGTAGCACCTTTGCCCTCCTTGAATCAGTGTCTGAATAACTTCCCAACCTGGCTGCCTCTGTAGAAGTTCCAGAAAAGTGCAGAAGTGTGAGAAGACATCTTTGGGCCTTCTAAAATCATCCTTGCACACCAGAGCCACACTTCCTTAATGCCCTGTTTCCTCCTGCTAGAGGGGTAAGGCATTCTGGGGTGGGAGGATGTGTGGAAATCCAATTTTGGAGCTGCTGGCTCTGTGGGCTCCTGCTGGGCTCCTCCTGAGGGGGAGGTAAAGGCATCCCACGCACTCTCCTCTCCATCTGCCTCTCTTAAGTAGGTGTTGGGGGGGGGGCCTGTCTCCTTTCTCTATCTGCTGAGGAGCAGCCAGTGTGGGCAGCTGGGAGGTGCCCATGAGAAAACCCTGGCCCCATGCTTGGGCCCTGTCAGGGGTAAAAGGCCTCTGTGAAATCCAGAAGGGGCGGTCCTTTGTTCTAATAGTCTCTGCACTTTGTAATGGACCCTTCCAACATAACTCACTCCCTGAGGCCATACTAGGAGAAAAGGGTCCAGTTGATGAAGTTTCTTTGCTTTTGTCAGCTGGACCACAACCCTGCATTTTTCTTACACAGATATCAGCATTTTGCTTCCTAGCTAATGAAGTCAACTCTCCTGGTCACCAAGTTTAGCATTTCTGGTTTGGGCAACAGAAGCCTGCTGCACAGAACCCCCAGGAGGGATGGGGCTGGCTGCTTTTGGAGCAGTGACTGTATATAGTTGTTTGTGAGTATCCAGTGGATGATAGTGGTTGTTTACTTCTGACTAGGCATAACTCTTTTTATTTATTTATTTATTTATTTATTTATTTATTTATTTAGAGGGCATTTTTTCTCTTCCATTCCTGGCTGTTGTATTTCATCCTTAGCCAAGATACTGCATATTTACATTGTGCATTTGAAGGAGTGAGAGATTAATTTTGGTTCTTGAGTTAGGTAGAAAGGATTTCCTAGGGTGATTTTGGTAGTTCACACCTTGATCCCAGCAGAACCAGGTAGATTTCTGAGTTTGAGGCCATAGTGAGCTCCAGGCCAGCCAAGACTACACCTTGTATCAAAACTAAAATAAACATAGGGAAAGTTTATTCCTCTTATTTCGGAATTGTTTTTTCTTTTCAAATTGGAATCTCTCCGTGTGTGTGTGTGTGTGTGTGTGTGTGTGTGTGTGTGTGTGTGTGTGTGTGTGTGTGTCTAAGTAATCACACAGTATCATATTCATCAGCAAATTTTTGGGAATGGGAAGCCACCTATTTAATAATGTGGATGTAATGGGCTGAGAGTGTAGCTTTGTGATGCAAGGCTGGCCTAGATATATAGGCCCTGTGTTTGATCCCCAGCACCACCACCAAAAATGAACAGATAAGTATATAAATTAGTATATAAATAAATGTTTCTAGTGTTCAATTTTATATGTACACCTGGGTTTTTGTGTTTGTGAGAAGCCAGGTGTAATGAGTATTCTTGGTTGTCAACTTGGCTACATTTGGAATTTACTAAAATCCAAGTGGCTGGACACGCCTGTGAGGGACTCTTTTTTGATGGGCTGGGGTTTCACAACAAGGTTTCCCTGTGTAGCTTTGGAGCCTGTCTTGAAACTTGCTTTTGTAGACCAGGCTGGTCTCAAACTCATAGAGATCCTCCTGCCTCTGCCTCCCAAGTGCTGGAACTATAGGCGTGCATCACCACTGCCTGGCTTGTGAGGGAGTCTTAAATCATTTGGAGTAGGAAGAGCCACTTCTAATCCAGATCTTTGGGTTTTGAAGACACATCTTTAATGTGGCCTGAACTTTCTTTATATAGCAGCCTATATAAAGACATGGAAGGAGGAAGCTCTCTTTTTGCCTGTTTGTCCTTACTCTTGCTGTTAAGTTCATTCTGTCATTGGCATTAGAGCCTGCTTCTGCCTTTACTGAAGACAAGCTGAGATATCTATCTAGCCTTGTGGACTGAACAACTACTGGATTCTTGGATCTTTTGTTAGTAGACTGGCATTGTTGGACTAGTTGGACCACAGCCTGTAAATCTATAAGCCATTTTAATGAATTTCCTTTCTATTAGAGCCTGGGCTCATACAGATTGGGGTACCAACAGTGGTTCTAGAGAAACAGAAACGTAAGGATGAACTTTTAAAGTATCTGGAAAGGCTTTCCAGTTTTCCAACATCTACAGGAGAGTACTGAAAGCCCACGATGTGAACTATTTTGAAAATTTAAGGAGATAAATGTATTTGATTATCCTGATTTACCAATTGTGAGAGGCAGTGGATTTGGTGACACTGTAGACAAAGCTTTAGATAATTTGTGAATGAATAAGGTAAATGATGCTGCTCTTAGTGTCTCTACATAAAATGACAAAGGGAAAGAATGAGCTCTTTGATAAAATTAACTAACTTCTAACATCTCAGAATATGGTGAAATATAGCAATCGACTTGGTGATAAAATTGACTGGCTCCAAATTCTCGTAAGGTTTCTGCATGTGCCCTAGAAGAGAGTCTTCTCTCCAGTAGAAAATGAAACAGAAGCCTTTATTTATAAGGTTGGCTGAATTACAGTGAAATTCAAGTCCCAGCTTTGGAGGATGTAGGTGGTTAAAGTAAGGGTATTAATTGGTAAAGAATGGGATCCTGTATCTTGGGCTGGGGGTACATAGAAGGTTCTTATTGAGGGTGAGAACTTTGAGCCCTCAGATTCTCAAGGGTTTATCTCGTCTGAGGAAGTAGACTCTCTCCACCATCAGCAAAAGATGTACTCCCACTTTACCCTCTGAGATATTGTCTTTTCTACCCTTGACTGAGTAAACTAATCCTTCATTATCTGCTAAACTAGTAGTGACTTTCTCTGAAGAAGATACCACCAATATATCAGGGACCACCAATAGTTACTCTAGATCCAAAGTTCTCAACCTGTGGGTTGCTATCCCTTTGACAAACCTGTCTCCAAAATATTTACATTTTGATTCATAATAGTAGCAAAATTATAGTTATGAAGTAGCAGTGAAAATAATTTTATGGTTGTTGGGGTCACCATAACATGAGGAACTGTATTAAAGGGTTAAAGCATTAGGAAGGGGAGGTAGAAAGTGTGGTCCATGAGGAAGTGTGCTACACTACTAAAGAGCTTAAATGAGTTTGTGAATTTATTCAAACAGAAATCTGAGAAATATATGTGAGAACGGATTTTAAGGATATGGGATAATGGTGAAAGGAATATAAAACTGGATCAGGCTAAGTTTATTGATATATGGGCCCAATGAGTAGAGATTTTAGGTTTAATCTGAAAGCTTGCATAGTTAAAAAAAAATAGGATGTCAAAAGTCTGTTTGAATGGTTGGATGAAGCATCTGTCAAAAGATGGCCTACTGAAAAGGAGCTAGAGATACCTGGTGTCCCTTGGCTTAGTGTCAAGGAGGGGGGTTCTAATGCTCAGGAAAATTGCAAAGCTAGAGTGGGTACACTGTGTAAAGGGAAGGCCCAGAAGACATGTCCTTTACTAATTCTATAAGATGTAAAATTGTGAGAGGGGCACCAGCACATTTGAAGAGCTTTGTTTTGACCCTTTTCTTCCTTGTGCCAGACCTTAGCGTTAGAGATGCTGCTGCTCACCTGGATGAATTAAATGTCATGGGTTTAATTTGGCCCTGAAGTAGCAGGGCCAGGTGGCAGTACAGAATTGCCAAAGGCAAGATGATCATAGTTATTGCAATGGGCAGCATAGACAAAGCAGTGCCATAATGGCCTGACCCATAATGGTCAGCAAAGGCAAAATGAATTTTATGGTGACATGATTTATATGGACATTTGGTACTGACTAATCAATCATGGTATTTTCAGGCATGGAATAGATAAGACGCTTACTGTGTTTTTGTTTGATCTAAGTAAGTGGAAAAATTCTCACACATATGAAAGAAAGACTCTGTTGCATCATGAAAAAAGGGAATCTTGGCCTGTGGATGAATTTCCATACTTGATCCAGTTTGCAGACCCAGAACCCCTTGAATGAAGGAATGGATGCCAGATTCCCCTGAACATGGACCATGATAAAATAGCTAAAAGTTTTACTGTTAGCCTTTCTATGGTTCTTCCTCAGCGGGACCTCTGACCTTTTACAAGGGTGATCATACTCTAGGGGAAAGGAAACAATTGGACTTTCCAGGGTTTATTGGATACTGAATTAACACTGATTCTGGGAGACCCCAAGAAACATTGTGGCCCTCCAGTTAATGTAGGGGCTTATGAAGGTCAGGTGATTGAAGAAGTTTTTGCTGATGTCCTACTCACAGTAGATCCAGTGGGTCCCCAAACTCATCCTGTGGTTATTTCCCCAGTCCCAGAATGTAATTGGGAGAGATACACTTGGAAGTTGAACTCTTACATTGATTCCCCAACTTGTGGTCTGAGGGCTATTATGTTTGGAAAGGCTAAATGGAAGCCTTTAAAGCTGCTTCTGCTAGGGAAAACAGTAAATCAAAAACAGTTTCACATCCCTGAAGGAACTACAGAAATTATGTGCCATGATCAAGTTATTGAAAGATGCAGGGTTGGTGGTTCCCACCACATCTCCCTTTA